ACCTTGAGGCGAAAATAATGATTACAGTTCGGTAAAATAGGGTAACTCGCATAGGATGGAACTGTAGCTCCATGGTTTCGCATTAACACAACGACGAACGAAATAACCGACAGCAAAACCAAGTGAGCTACAGAACTGCAGCTATCACCAGGTTAGCAAGAGTTTCTCACGATCATCAAACCCGAGACACAAACGATAATACAAAGTGTATAAATACCATAATAAGCACAGTTTCTTACCTTTGAAAATGGTGAGACAGAATTTTGTCCATAGAAGCGTTGCGCAAATAAAGATACAATTTCGTAATACAATATCCTCACACAAAAATGACTGATTTCCACAGAGACGAGAACTGCGCATGCGTCATCAAAACTCAGATTAAATTCGGGTAATTTTGGGAAAAGTCGGATTTTCCAGCAATTTTGAAGGAAAAATGTTAAAAATCAAAGAAAAACACAGTAAAACTTTGAAGAATTGAAAAAATAACTTGATGTGCCTAATAACACCATCAATTCCTGTCTCTGTACCAACTCTGAACTGAATTGGATCACACATGTGTGAGAAGAAGCTGGTAACGTGAAGCACAAACACGACCCAAATCTAAATTTCATCTTATTTCATCGATTCCAATCGTATTTTCAACACTCGATGCTGTTGAAATGAATATTCGCCATGTTTTGACCTGCAATGGTGTTCTTTGACCTGACAGGTCAAATCGATAATTAACCAATGAACACGATGGATGATGCCAACTTGTTCAAATTACCATAGCTCATTTAAATACGATCTTTTGGCTTGGATTTTGATGGGAAAGCGACATGATTTTTTTTAAATAAAAAAATTAGCTGTTTTCAAAAGATAAACTGAGCATTTGAAGAATAATTTAACATTGTTTACAGTGATAACAGCTCATTGTCGAAACAAAGCTAACCCATTCACGCTAGTCACAATAAACATCAATACTCTTGAATAGGCGTCAATGACTACGGCGAAACTTTTAGGCATCAGAGAAGATTAAAATAACACCTTAAAAAACTGCCAAAAAATCGCCCTGGGCGGTTTCTTGGTCGCATTTTTTTTTTTTTAAATCTGAACTGCCGTTTAACGGCCCTGGGCGAATTTACGGCAGCATCCGGTACTAGTCCAAATAGATACCCTAATACATGTAATCTGAATACCTCCCCAATCCATTGTGGGAACCCCACTTACAATGGGGTTAACAATTTCATTAATTGGGGACACAGACTTTTGTTTTATAATGCTAATTAAATTAGCCGATATTAGTGTGTATAAAAGCATTGATTGCACTTACCATTCATTTCCCGCATAGCTGCTACAAAATCATTTGGATCTCTAAAGCTAACAAAACCAAAACCTTTAGTTTTATTTGTTCTCTTATCTCGAACTACCTGCATGTAAAAATTAAAAAATACTCATTAAATGTCAAACCCATTTTAGATATTTGATGTTAAACACACTTTTTTTATTCATCATTTCAAATACCAAGATATATTTTCTTTGGTTGATGTCTGCAGACACTCATTATTACCACAAGAGTTTTATATCAATCTGAACCAATTGATATTACCGGTACTCAAAACATGTATTGATATAATGTTGTTGCCATGCGCAACTTCTGCAACTGATTTTATTTTTTTTTAAATATTTGATATAATCAACAATGCCTATTTTGTGGTATTTTATCCACACCATAGAATAGGAACAAACCATGTGACCAAGGCCATATGACGGAGCCATTACAGCTGGCTATTCACTCTGGTTCCTATCACTCCGCATCAAGGACTTAGACCAACGCTACAGAAAAAGTGGGGTGGTTGTGGGGGTATGGAGTCTATGATGGTTATAAACTATGTGAATAGACGGGTTTGGAGAACCCTCTGCCTAAATTCACTGCGTTCAATTACCCTAAAACTCTAAAATTTCGGCCCTTCTAAAAATTAGAGCGAGTGATTATTTACCGGGTTTCAGTATTTTATTTACCTCCAGATTTTTGACTCCACTAAATATTGCCAACTTATTCTTATTCGAAAATTGCAACAAGTTTTGGTTTTCCCCCAAACGAAAATCAAAGAAAGCTTAGAAAGATCCTGTGTGCTGAGAGTATTGAAGACACATTAAAAATTAATTCAAAATCACTTGTACTTGTACACGAGATATTGATGGAAAAGCTGAAAACTAATTATGTAAATCAGATAACTAATATGAACAGAACAAAAAAATTATGAATTATTATGCTAATTAGAGAATTAATATGAACAAATTTTTACCCAAAATTAATCAGGCCTGTCTATTGTCCTAGAGCATTTACATGTACCCAAGTATGTACCAAATTTTATTCAAATGTGATAATCAGTAATTGAGATATCAGTGTTAATTAATTATGTTAATTAGGTGATTAATAAGCATAAATATTTACCAAAAACTAATTGGGTCTCTGCATAGTTTCTTTATATATCAGTGGAACATTATGCAAATTAGGTAATTAATATCCAATTAAAACTAATCAGGTCTCTGCATAGTCCTAGAAGATTTATTTAGCAAGTCTCATTGAAATATGATGATTAGTACTTGAGATATCAGGCAAAGAGCTGAAAATTAACTAATTATGTTAATAAGGTAATTAATATGCACAAATATTTACCCCAAAACTAATCAGGGGTCTGCACAGTCCTTAAGTAACTATGTACCAAGTTTCATTAAAATGTGATGATTACTACTTGAAATATCAAAAGCTGAAAATGTATTAATTATGCAAATTAGGTAATTACTGTGTACTGATATCAGGTTT